GATTGGTCGATCGGCCAATAAAATCACGAGATGATCATCAAAATCTAACCAATCACAATGAAAGTTCGCTATGCTTCACTCAACTAAATTCGGTAAAAATTTTTTATTTGAATTTTATGAATCAACAGAATTCATATAAAAAACGTTTATCGAATTTAGTCAGATGGTTGTTGAGATATCTTCTCTAAAAGTAAAAAAGTAGGTGTAGGAGTATCGAAAATGAAAGTTTGCTCCCCAAGAACTGGAAACGGGTGCCCAAAATTTTTATACTGCATACGGATAATCGATTAATGTCAAGTTTGATAGTCACTTATAAGATTATACAATATGTTCGAGCATGCATTTGGAAAGAATTATTAAATTCTGGAAAAAGTCACAAACCCTTGAAAGTATTTGTTAGCTATAGAAAGCAGTTCTCTTATTATTGATTATTGAGAATTCCAAAGTATATCAAAGTACGCATGATTTGAGTGAAATGAAAAATTATAATTTGCAGAAAATTCGTATTTTTTGTGATATCATGCTTGCTTGATTAACTGACTCTGATGATATTTTTTTGTAAAGTTGAAAACATTATTATTAACTTTAACATATTCTGAAAAAAAAAATAATTGTCAATAAAAGGTCTTGATGATTTTGTAACGGGTAGCTTAGATGGGATTTCATTTAAGCAAGTATCGATAAGATTGAAATTAGTTTTTTCAAAAAAACTTATGGTAAAAAAAAACTTTATTTTATATAATCATGACATTATAATACACTACAGCACTATATGGAAGAAATTGCTAGAGATAATTTTTTCTAGACATGTTTAATTTTTTTAGACTAATAATGTGAATATTGTTAAAATGTATTCAAATATATTGAAATAAATAATACTAATTAAAACCGAAATCGAAATCAACATCATTCTTATCCAAATTTTTAAGCGTCTCATTAGCTTTAACATGACCCTTTTGAGCAGCCAAATTTAAGTACCTTAATCCTTTGATTTTGTCCATTTCCACATGTGCCTTACCATGTAAATAGACATCACCTAAACTATATAATGCAGCAGCATTTCCATTTTCAGCTGCTTTACTCAAATGATCTAAAAATTCGGTTCTATTTTCTTCTGTTCTCGGTAATGAAAACGCGTACCAGAATTGTGCATCAGCTACACCTTCTTCAGCAGCCTTTTTAAATAATTCACGGGCCTCAGATTGATCTTTCTTCTTCTGTTCTTCAGATCTTTTTGAGCCTTTTGGATAGTAACCTTCCCATAAATAGTACCCTTTCCAATAAATGGCGAGGGGACTCTTAAGTTTGACATTATCTTCAAAGCACTTCCAAGCTTTTTCCTTATTTCCATGAATCTTTGTTCGATGAAGTTTGATTCCTTCCTCAATTGTTAAAATCGTATTTATGCTAGCATTTTGTTGAGAATCTTCATGTATCGCTAAGCCTTTGTTAATGCGAGAGTCAATAGGTACCAAAGAGGGAGACTTTTTAACAACCGAAGATAATTCTGAAAGTCTTAAATATAATGCACTTATGCCAATTCTTTCTTCCGGTTGTTGTTTCCATGCTTTTAAAGAATAATTGTCAACATAATAATTAATAAAATTATGAATACTTTCACTGCTGATGCTGAAATTAGTTGATGTTGAAAAGAATTCTGGTTGAAAATATAAACTCCATAAAATATACACCTTATTAGCAACTGCTCCATCTTTGAAAAATTTTTTAAAATTTTTCAAGGAGAGTCAAATTTCAACATCAGCATCGGCAATAACAAATAATTTAGCATGAAATTAATTACCTGATTTAATTAAACTTTTAAATTCATATTGAATATCTTTATTAATATTGTTTGGATCAAGATCGGATTTATCAAGGTCATCAAAACTTTCTCTATTGTCATTTGTGACGTGTTTTATTATTTCGCTTATATCCATTTTTTCGTAAGGAACTTTTTCACAAGCTATCTCCCACATGAGCATCCCAAAACTGAATTAAAGTATAATGGTTAATATCATTAAAAGTTAACGTTATGAAATTTAAAAAAATCCAATTTACCTAAAAATCTCACATCTTTGTGTGTACGGTTTGAAAACCTCTGGCTTTAGTTGTTCGCCCATTTTCTCTGGCGCTAACCAATGGATAATATCTATAATTTCATCACTAATCTTTTCAGAAGTTGCGGAATTTCTTTTTCTTGCATATTTAAAATTTGTAAGTTTTGGTTCATCATTGGCTGTCATCTTTTTAAATTAATAGTTTGGTTAACGAATAATTATAAAAATTTTTAAACAAAATTTTGAATAACTCACCATCACATTTTGGCAACGAATATCATGATGAAAAACACCAACAGAATTTAAATAAGTTATTCCTTTACAAATGCCAAAGACTATTTGAGCTTTTAATGGCCAGGTAAGTTTCTCATCTTTACGTTCATATAATTCTTTTAAACTTCCTTTTTCAGCCCACTCAAAGACCATAACTTTACTTGTCTCTTGTATAGAAAGACCATAAAATTTTAAAATATTTGGACAATCTAATAGTTTTCTTTGAATTTCGAGTTTACCATGTAACCGTCTTTCTTCTTCACTCTTAATTTTTCGACCAATTGGTTTACAAGCTATATCGATGGCATCTCTATAAATCATTCTGAAGATATGTTTCGATTTTCCACGACGATCGTTAGGACTACCGTGTGGCGGATCTTTTATTAAATGTGACTCAATTTCTCGTACATCAATTGAATCCTCAGAATTACTTTCAATTCTATTTTGGACATGTTTGATTTCTTGATAAACAAGATTCGTTTGCTCTTTATGATAATTTGCGAAATCTTCCAGAAACTATTTCAAAAAAATATAATTAAAACCTTTTTATCTAGTTTATTTATTATTAAAAATAAAAAAAAATGGTATTGTATATTACCTTTTTCGTTTCAGCAATATCGTTTTTTAAACATTCATTATCAATTCTTTTCTGTTCATCAAAAGCAATGATCATAGTAAATTTCAAACTATTTAAACAAGAATCATACTCTTCCATTAATTCTTTATAATTCTTTTCTATATTCTGAGCATTTATCCATTTTTCAAGCCCCCTTAATTGGGTCACTTGTTCAGTAAAATCTTTTATTTTATCCAATACATTTTTAAGAGTATGTAAAGATTCTTGATACTTTAAATCAGAAAATTTTTCACCAAAATCTTCTTTTTGAATCAATAAGAATTTTAGGGCCGCTTCAACCGATAATAAACGACCTAAAATAGTTCTCGATATCTTTTTATTATATTGAGCTTTTTCGTTGATATCAAGTACATGTTTAATAATTTCAGAAATAGCACCGAGTAAAGGGTTAAGACTTGCTAATGAACCACCAATCGTGATTCCTATGTTTATAATTCCTGAAACATTTTCAGACATAATAATAAATTAAATGAAGTTTAAGTATAAGATATTTGATTATTTTTATAAGTTATCAGAAATAAAATTTAAGTTTACTTGTGTGTTAACGAAAATAAACCTTATTTAATAAACTTTAAATTCATTCATTTTTCCTTTTCTGATACTATTTGCGTTTGTCCATTGTTGCTGTGATACAAATAGTAATGATCTTATGTAACGCGTTAAGTTAACCAGACTATTTTAGATGTTAGTCGATTATTTCCATAAAGCGTACATACGAAAATAAGCCTACGTATGTACGTACGTACGTACGTACGTTCATTAGAATATTCTTTATGCAGGTTATTCCGGTCTAATCTTGAATATCAAATTTCTTACAAAAAATATCTTAACATAGTAATAATTTTTTTCGTTAAAATAATAAAGCTTATTATTAGAAGTCCCATTTTTATACTCATTTGTGCGGACATAAAGTGTCAATTGTCCGGATAAACTTAAGAATTATTTCATAAAGTTTTTTTATGCATAAAAAGAGATATTTAACTAAAAAAAAGTTTAGCGATCTTTTTAAATGCCACTTTCAAGGTACAAAGTGAAAATAGAGACTTACTTTTTCGAGAGATGAATATGCCTAATATTATTTTAAGAGAACATCCAAATGGCAGATTCGTCACCAATTACATGTCCAGATGGTAGAAAATTTACCACTCTATACATAGCATGACGGAGAACATCTTTTTCACATAGGTATTTAGTAAAGTAGTACAGTACGATTGTACAAATATGTATGGACGTACGAAAATTGAGCAAAATTTTAATAGTACGTACACTAAAAAAAAATAAAAAATTTCGTACTAGTACATACGAATTTTTTTTTATATTTTGCATATTCGAAGTGAGTTGTTAAATTCTAAATTTACAAGATCGA